CTCCAAACCCTCCTGCTCATCATGCTCCGCCCTCCTCCTAAACACCTACCTCGCCTACACACCCACCACCTCCACCCTCAACGCCACCGTCATCAACTCGGCGGCGAAGCGCGTGAACGAGGCGTGTGGCGCGAGTTTTGTCAACTTTAGTACGGCGGCGGCGGCGAATTCGTCGAGTGGGGCGGGGCGGTTGGACTTGGGGTCTGGGGCGGGCTTGGGGTTGTTGGTTGTGGGGATGGCTGTCGGATGGGGCGCTGGCGTGTGGTAGATGATGAGCCGGTTGTGGAGGTGACGAGGGGGACGATGGGTCATCTTTGGGGCATTCTGATCTAGCTTGCATATCTACTTGACGGACATTCTGGGGTGCTCTTTACTCGAGTACATACATACTTCACTTACCTGTTGATACATGCATTTCGCCTGCACGGTGAGCACCAGAGTGACGCGTATAGGGGCGCCACACGCGGTGTTACGGCGTTATCCTAAGCCCACTAGGAGATCAGAGCCAGTGATATCCCCCGATTGTTTTTTCGTGCTTTTCTCCAAACACCATCAGCTTCCCTCCACCCAGCACGTCCACCCGTCCCTCACCAAGCCAGCAGCCCCCAGCCCCCACCCCGGGAGCCCCCCTCTCTATCCTGATTGACAAACTCGAAGACTTTCCCGCTCGGCAACTTGCCAGAAAGGCCCAATGGAGCATCCGCCCGACTCTCCCGCCCCGGACCCGGGCTCGCCAGGCTCGCCGCCTACGCTCGACGCGAGCCTCGTGGCCCTCGCCCAGCAGGTGCAGGCGCATGCGGCGAGTCAGGCTGCGGCGGCCGCTGCTGGCGGCGCGTCTGTATCTCACGAGCTGGATGGTGCTGGGGAGCAGGGGCAGCAGGAAGAGGGGGGAAACGGCGGTGCTCCCGCGACGTTACACGATACTGAGGCTGGGGTGTCGTCGAAGCGGGAGCGGGATGCGGAGCAAGAGCATGACCAGGAGCAAGAGCAGAGAGAGCTTGAGCAAGCTCTCGAGCGACAAGGCGAACATCAGCTGGAGGAAGAACGGCTGTTGGCTCGAGCGCGGGACGATGCTGGAGAGGTAGAGGGGGATAATGAGGTGGAGGGGCAAGGGGAAGGGGAGGGAGAGGGAGAGGGCCACGAGGCGATCCAGCTGGATGATGAGATAGATCCGACGTTGCGGGAGATTGTCAACAGCTTGACGAACGCCCAGCAGGTGAGCATCTCTCCTCTATCACACTCCCGTCTATGTATGCCAGCAGACGGAAACGTAGAGCTGACTAGACGGATCGACTGGCGGGCGCAGTCATCACACCACCTCAACAGCCAGGGGATGACCCACGCCCAAGCGGCGGCTGCTATCGGCGCGCACCTCACTGATGCGGAGGAGCGGGAGAGGCTGCAGCAGAGTCTGCAGACAACGCTTGATGATCTTAGCCATGAGAACTTCAGTATGTCGTATCTCTCCCATCTTATTGGTCTCGGCATAGATGCTAATCACCCACGCACGCAGGCGCTCTCTTCCCGCCAAACTTCTCCCAATCCCCAAGCCACTCCTACCTCAACCTCTCACACGATGACCCCTCCCACTCACTCCCCTTGCCGCTGCCGCTGCCGCTGCCGATGCACCTCCCACCGGGCTCGTTACCGCCGGATCTCGCATCGATGCAGATGAACGCTGAGGCGGGGCCGTCGAATTATGCGCGTGCTGGGTCGGGCGCGGGCGCGGATGGGGGGCAGTCTGGGGAGGGTGCGGGTACGGGCGACGCAGGGTCTGGGGCAGGGGGGCAGGGTGGGCAAGGAGCGGAGGGGGCTACAGGTGGTACCGGCCCCGACGCCCCTCCCATAAAACGCGGCCGCGGCCGCCCCAAAGGCTCCAAAAACAAACCCAAACCCGGCCCTCCACCCCCCAAACCCCCTCGTCCTCCCAAAGCCCCCTCCCGCCCTAAAGGCCGCCCTCCCAAAATCCGTACACCCGAAGAACAAGCGGAATACGACCAGCGCAAACTCGACAAAGAGATGGGCGTGAAGCGCCAGAAGGGCCGGCCGAGAAAGTTCCCGGGGTACCTGGTTAGGGAGATGCGGTTGAAGAAGAATAGGGAGGAGTTTAATGAGTTGATGAGGACGCATGAGGAGAAGAGGAGGGAGGAGGAGATGTTGGGGGAAGGGAGGGGGATGGGGTTGGGAGGGATGGGGGTTGGGGAGATGGGGATGGAGGGTATGGAAGGGATGCAGGGCATGGAGGGTATGGAGGGGATAGAGGGGATGCAGGGCATGGAAGGGATGGGGGGGATCGAGGGCATGGATGGAATGGAGGGTATCGAGGGCATGGAAGGCATCAACATGCCAGACGGCCTGGACCCCCACCACCAACCCCACCCTCACTCCCACCACCCGCACTCCCACTCCCACCCCACCCACCCACACGATCTCGCCCCCTCGCACCATGAAGACCCCGCCCAGCGGCAACACGACGAGCACGAGCACGAACACGAGTTCGCGAATTGGTCGGTGCAGGACGGGCAGACGTTGTTGGATGTGGTGGGTGTGGGGCATCATCATGAGCATGAGCATGGGCATGGGATGGATGGTGTCGGGATGGGGGTCGGGGTTGGGGCTGGAGCGGAAGGAGAGGCGGGGCAAGGGCATGATGGGATGGAGGAGGTGTTTGGGCTGGGGAGCTAGGGATTCGAAAGAGGAGGTATGGGGGCGAGCTTGTTGTACCGAGTGTTGAGAATCAAGATTATGACATGGATGTCACACAACTTTTCGAGTGATCAGTACAGTACTACGTAGAACAGGAAAAGGCAGTAGTCTCACTGGGTGTATGGCCCTCCCTGACACTTCTTGTTCATTGACATCGGACACTAGACTACGTTGCTATCCCGCATATAGAGCACCTCCCGGCCCAGCGCCATCCCTACCCAGGATCACCAGCAGTACACCCCTCTCCGGACATATACCAAGAAGACGTACTTGTATGTATGAATGTGCATCCCACAACTATACGTCAACCAACAGCCAGCTGCTTCTCTGACCAGCAGCTCTTCCCCCGCCCTGTCTGCCCTCACATCTATCACCTACTGGCCTCTGCCTTTATAGCGTTCTCAGCCAAGATGTTACACTGGTCGTCAAGAACATCATCGATCTCCTCCAGTTGTTTAGAAGGAAACGAGAGATGACAGAGCGAGAGAGGGTTGCTGTACATAGCGTCGTCGAACGCCGTATACTGGGCTCTGGTCATATAGTAGCGCGTTAGCTGACGATCACTCACGCTGGGAAGCGTCAGATACAAATGGCTTGCACTTACATTGTGAAGGTAGAGGTCGAATACGTGGTGTCATCAAGGAGCATGATGTATAGTTGACTGTCCAACCACTCCCAGAAATGTTCGCTCTTGTCTTCCTCAGACTCGCCGTTCCCACTGACAGAGCTAGAAGACATCTTCTCCTCATACTGAAGAATGTAGCGTCTCTGTATGATAGCATGAATCAGCCCATTACTTATTTCTAGCACTTGCTTGCATTAGCAGGAGGATTCTGCCACTCACCAAGAAGCACAGGCGTGTGAGGACGTTGGTGTTGACGCCAATGGCCTTCGCCGCTCCCATCACCTTCAGGACATCTTCACCTATCTTGTTGAGAGAGATCTTCGTCGACCCTGCAGATTTCTTCAACTAAGCAATATAAGTCGAGTCAGTTATAACGCCCCGGGGATGTGTGAGACTTGCAACTTGCCTCGACGTAAAGTTTACTCTTCAAATTTCGACTGCATTTCCCCAGGTATCGTGCTAGCTTTGTCTCCCCTTCCGATCCTGCCTCGGGCATATCACTGACATGACGGGCACGCATGCATGCCTGACAGAACAATCGCAACGTCAGCACCAGTATGCGTGTAGATGTGAATCATACATGCTCACGATGATCAGTTGGGGAAATGTCGTGCCGGGGTAGCCGCCCCATCTAGAGTACAACGGGGTCGAAATCGAGACCAGAGTGAACATCGCGTGGGTCCGGGCAGAAGCCTAGTGCAGAAATGGCGCGGACGAGAGAGTCAGCTTTCGAGTACTGGGCATGTCTCAGGTCTCCACATACCTCAAGCGCTTTGGGCAAGGTCTCGGAGGCCATCTGATTCTGCTGCAGTCGCTCAATACCAGCACTCAGCTTCGCTTGCTGCTGAAGCATCTGCTGCACTTGGCGGATAACGATAGTCGCCACTTCTTCGACGGAATCCTGCAATCGTTGAACGGCACGTCAGCAAGAACAATTAACGACATCTCGGGTACTTCATTGCTTGTCTATGAACTTACGTGGCGATGGCTCCAAAGAATGCCTCCCACTCCGCGGAGCATTTTGGGCGTTTCGGATCCTTGAGGAGCCTCGAAACCCGAACATCCCCATCACCTTCATCGTCTTCATCTGCTCGGGCACGGCGGCGCGTTCCCTGATCGAGGGGCGCTACCCGCCGAAGCAGGCAGCTTGATGGGCGAAGCGAGCGAAGGGGCCTCCGCCTGTTGGCCCCCGGCCTCGACGACAGTGCCGGTGGGAGGAGGTTGGCTGACAAAGAAGACGTCGTCAGAGGTGGTGGGAAGAATGGGTACCATGCCCATAGGTGGGATCTGGTGCTCGAATAGGCAAGCACGCGTTGTGGTAGATAATATTTGGGCGATGTGCGATGAAGAGTGGGAAGGGAAGTTGGTGGTAACGTCCGTCACGCAGAGGAATGCCTTTGACGCGTCGCAGACAAACGACACGCGCGCTCTTCCAGGGCTCGCTCACTTGAATCGCTTGGTCAATAGGCTCAATACTCCTCCCTATCGGTGTTGATGCAGCACATGATCCCGATTGACGGCATCGGTGAGCTCCAAAATGGTCTGCCCCCGTGAACTTCATATCGTTTTACTCGGTAACATGCGACCGAGAGAAAGAGTGATAAAAAAGCCGAATATAGTTAAGTAATCAATATTTTTTTCAGAAAAGTCACGCTACCACAGTCTGAAAACACCGTTGGTGAAACGGTATCATGCATCGTTGCCATTCAATGATTAATTCATTCGATTGTCGATGCGGCAGGGGTTCGACTCCCCTACGGTGTATAACTTTTTTCATCAGCTTTTTGGATGCTTCCTCACAGTTTCATCGCATGCATGAGTGCATGAACGTGCATGATGGGACATCAAGTTGAGGTGGCATGCATACTCACATCTCGCGGCTTCTTTTTTGTAGTTCCTGGGTGTTTTACCAACATGAAGTACCGTGGTTCATGAAGGCATGTCTGTCACTCTCGCTTCGTTTGAGTTACGATGTCATTTATTAGCTCGACACAAGCACCGCGCCTCCCTCCCAGCGATGTCATGGAAAATGGATGGCTCTGCATTGCTTGGGTCCTTATATCATGTACTGTGCCGAGATGTGTGATGCGCATAATCAATGCCCTCGGTGAACTTCTCCTCCCACCCTCCCCCATCGCGTCACTCGTCGCTCTCAGGTAACCGCCTCATGCACTTTGAACATCCCCGCCGGGCCGTCCCCTCTCTCTTCGCACATTTATGAACCCCATATCGATCCTACCCCTGCCGCCCTTCAGCCCTTCAGCCCATCGTACACACAAACCCCAAATCCCGAGATCCCCAACCCTGTCATCCCCCAAGCTTTATCCACACGGCTCGGCTGCCCCCCCCCCCTCGCCCCCTCCCGACCCCCTCCTCGAGACCTAATCCCTCCGGACGATCTTGGCATAAGACGCCACAGGAGGACGCACGGGCGGCGGCCCAATACTGACCCCAGCATTGATCGACACAGCGGCGAGCTTGGCCTCTATGATCTCCTCCGGGGAAGGCCCTGTTGCTTTACCAGACGGCTCAGCTTGGGGCTGAGATTGGGTCTGAGCTTGATCCTGAGCAGAGGGTTGAGCAGGTTGCGATGCCGCTGGGGGCTTGATACCCGCCACAACTGCAGCCGCCGACGTTGGCCGAGAAGAAGCGGGGGCAGGTGCAGGTACAAGCGCCGGCGCCGCCCCGCGGGTCGAGCTAGGACCAGATGCAGATGGGTCGTACAGCGTTGGTGCAGACTTGCCGGGTACGCGCCTCGGGAAGTCCGGGTCAGCATCGCTCATGACATGCCCGTGCCCGTGTGCCCCCGACGCATGGGCGTGCGGGCCGGGCGTACGGCTGGGGCCGGGGAGGATCGTCACGCGCTCAAATTCCTGGTGCTCCGCCGGGACGCCTGGGGCTATTAAGCCAGTCGGCGGGGCGGAAATGGACTGTGCCGTTAACACCGACGCTGCTGACGCACCAGACAGTGAAGGCTGCGAGTGGTGCAGTGAGCCATTCCACACTGTCCCGTTCAGCTGCTTCGCCTTTGCCCGCTCCACCTGCATTGGCTCCGCGGCGGTGCTCGCGCGGAGCAAGGGCGGGAATTCGGAGACGTTGGGCCCGGCGGTGGAAGATGCGACGGTCGCGCCTGTCGACTGCGCGGCGAGGACGGGCGCGTGACCGAGCATGGGAGAGGGGTGATATGGCACGTTGTTGGCGGCCCAGTCTGGGCGCTGGGGGAGCTGGTGTTGGGTTGGCGGGGCGAGCTGGATGGACCCTGTCCGCCGGGAGGATTGGGAGGATGTGGTGGTCACCGAGGACTGTTTCGTCCTCGTCAGCTGAATTGAAGGAAGGCCTATCACTGTCAACTCACAGGACTATGTCCCCTTGTTCCCCTCTTGCTCTCCCCGCTTCCCATCCCCAAGCTTGTCAACCCATTCAGTCCACCCTGCTGCTTCATCCCCTTCTGCCTGTGGCTATACCCCGCCCCTTGCGCCACAGAGTATATCGCCCCAAGCCGCACCCCACTTGCCGCGCTCCGCGTGCTCGTCGTCGACCCTCGGCTATGCGGCCGCGAGCCATCCTGGTATGACCTGGATGATATAGACGACGACGCCGAGCTGTGAGGCTGTGGCTGCGGGCGGGTCGGTGTGGGTTGCGCGAGCTGCGGGTACTGCTGTTGCTGAGGCAGCTGGCGCTGCTGCTGCATTTGCGGCAGAGGCTGGCCTGGGACTTGCCCCTGCACCTGCTGTGGGTAGAACGCCGGCGCGTGGTAAGGCATCCCCTGGGGAATCATGGGCATCGGTTGACCCCCGCCCATCATCGGCGTGTACGCCCATTGTCCGCCCGTCTGTTGCTGCTGCTGCATCATCCCGTACTGGCCATTCTGGCCCATCATCTGCTGTGGGTAAGCGCCTCCAGCTTGCTGCGCCTGCCACCCCGGAATCTGGTACCCGCCCTGCTGCCCTCCGGGAGGCATCATCACGTACTGCCCGCCGTCCATGAATGGCGGCATGTACCCAGCCTGGGGCTGGTGACCGCCTGCACCAGGGTACGCCCCTCCCGCCCCAGCACCCATCACGGGGTTCCCGTACATGTCAACCGGGTACGCCGGGTACATTCCATTCTGGAAGTACCCCGCCTGCTGCTGGGGCGGGTACTCCTGCATCCCCTGGGCGGGTCCTGGTGAGTGACCATGACTATGGTGCGGGCTCTTTGCCGGGCGGTACAAGGACGGATACACCGGCTCGAACCCCGCACCTCCACCTCCGCCGCCATTGGGATACGGCCGCCGCCGAGGGACTGGATCTATATCATCCTGCAAGCCTGCTGCTGCGCGGGACGTTTCCTCGGTCTTTGGCGCCGCCGCCTGCACCTCGCCGTCCTTGCCCAGGAACTTCTCCCGCGCAGCGGCATAAGCGGCCTCGCGCTCTTCGAGCGTCTTCCACTTGCTGCGCGGTTCGGCGCTGGGTCCATCGGCGGGGCCGGCGTCGGAGGGGTTGGAGGCTGCGGTCGGGGCACGCTGCATGATGCGGAACTTTTGGGTTGGGGAGGGGGCAGCGGGGACGAGGTCGGACAGACGTAATGAATTGCTACAGGGTTGTGTGGTGTTAGTCTCAGTACTCTCGACCTGGCACCACTTCTCTCTTCGTCGTCCCCGGGGACCTATACACTCACCTCTTCTCATAGAAAGTCCCCAGCACACCGATGATCATCGACCCTTCCGGCCCGGGTGCCGCCTTCAGCCCATACCACTCCGCCGCCTTGTACACCAGCATCCTCTGGAATTTACTCGTCGGCGTCGCTCCCAACGGCGTCGACGGGCCCAGAGCTGCCACCACGCTCGTGCTCGAGCCCGCACCCCCAGCTCCGCCCGCTGCCACCTGCCCAGTCGCGATGCGCCCGATGAACGCCTCAACTTCGTTCGCCAGGACTAGGACGAACATCCTGTCCTTTGAGTTCAGCGCGCTCTTCAGCTGCTCTTCGCCGTGGAGTGAGCCCATGCCTGTCTCGGCGGGGTGCGAGACCGTCGCGTTGAACGTTGGAGCTGCCGCGTGGGGCAGGCCGGGAGCGGCGGGCTGGGAGGAAAATGTAGTGGCAGAGAGGGAGGAGATGGTCGTTGGGTTCGGAGAGGGCGGGTCGGGCAGGGCAGCACTGGAGGGCGCGGACGAGGCGCTCGTGCTGGCTCCTGCACTGCCTGCGCTGGGGGCAGCTTCCCCTGTGGGCGTTATCCGCCTATAGAATCCACACCAAGAGTCAGCTCTCGTTTTTGTTCAGCGCCAGGTCAAGAGAGTTGACCCACCCATCGCCAGTAACGGCAGCCACCTTCTCCTCATCCCCCCCTTGTCTCTGCCCCCCGACATCCTCTTCCTCCCCTATCACCGCACTTGCCCCTACACCTGGTACAGAGCGCACCGCCTCATCCCCGTTCTCACCGGACGGCTTTAGGCTTGAAGAATGTGGTTTGGGGGTGGTCATCATCGTGGGCGATGAGACGTTTGGGGGCATGCCTGTGGTGTGGTTGGGGAAGGTGGAGGGAGGACGTGGTGGTTAGCTGCTGCGTGCGTGGTCGCGTGTCGGGTCTAGCGGGTGGATATGGTGAGATCGAGGAAGATGGAAGTGCAAGAACGGGAGTGAGAGCGGTGCTCGAGGGGAGAATGGCGAGGACAAGGACAAGCACCGCGACGGGGTGCGTGGCCATAAACGCGGCACGGCAAGTCCTGTCTATAGTGACTCTAGCCCACCGACGCAGGTCCGGAGGAAGCCCACTTGCTCTTCCACTTGCAATGTATCTCAAGCAATACAGACGCCAGAATGGATAAAGGAAGGGAGGCTGCGAAGGGGGCGACGTATATAGGCTGGGCGGAAGAATGGGAAGGGAAAGGTGACGGGGCACGGCCAGCGGTATGCGACGTGGGGATGGAGGGGGAACGCGGAATGCTCACCGGTAGTGCTCAAAGTCTCTGAAGCCATACGATCTATCTCGGGTGCAAGGCCTCCGAGGTGAGGTGGGGTGTGCTGACGAGCAGTTGGAGTTGTAGGTGAGCGTGTATAAGAAGGAGGTGAGGGAGGAGGGAGAGACGGGGTTGGCTGTGGCAGCGGTCGCTGCGTGGAGGCGGGGGAGGGCGGAGGAGACGACGGCGGGGAGGGATCCACGGGGTGCCTTTTTGCCGCGTGGTGGTGGTCGTCGGGTGCGGGGTGGGCGGGGGGGAGGTTGAGGGAGTGTGAGGTATATGTAATGGAATGGAAAGAGGATATCGAGATGGAAGAGTGAGACGAGCGAGTGACGAGTGGCCTTAGTGACGCGGAAGACAAGCTGCCAGAATAACCTTTGCGGCTCTGACGGCATGCTGCTCGCCGTATCATATCGTGTCAAGACTGCATCTATGCTGGCTTCAGGCGGCTTTGGTGCATTGTGACTGTATCTCATCTACGGGGACTATCTTACTTTCCGTATACATCGCCACTTATATCGATTGGTATGCAGAGGGGCACTACAGATTTGATGAGCGCTTCTCCGCAATCCATCATTCCTCCCATCCGGTAGCCAGCAGAAGAACTGATAGACGACATCGGCTCCTCCGCTTCAGCGGGAACTCGCAAATATCATCGGCCTCGCTAATTCCGGACCGCCAACTGGACTTAATCCAAGCATGCCTCACGAGCCGTGCCAAGGAGCCTTAAACGACGGCCGACGTACGCCTGGATGATTTGCTAACGTGGACGATAGGACCGGACCGCTACTCCGAAGATTGGGGCAAGATATCATGTAAAGGTGTGCT